TTCCACTCATAATTTGAATATCCAAATTCACACAAATCTTGAGCACCCATCGCACTCATTCCAAACATTGCACACGCATTCTACAACTTACTCAAAGATCTTTAATTCTAAATGTAACACCCTCGTTAATATCCATAAAATAAAGTTGATGGTATATATTTAAAGTTGATGTGGTCTGAGCAATATCGAATTTACATCTAGTCCCTACATTTTATTTTCGAAGTACTAAAAAAACTGTCCTTACATAAAAAAATAAAAACTTGATATTCCTTTGTAAATATAGCTTATGTTAAATTAGGGTACAAATTTTGAAAAAAAAACCAACTTCAACCTCTATCAAGACTCGGTATGAGTTGTGTGACTTGTCAAGAGTAATTGTGGAATTTCATATATTTATTTATTTTTTGAAAGTAGATGATAGATATTGGTAGGTGTTATTATTATTATTATTATTTTTTTTTTTGCATAAATTTCAATCAAGCTCTTAGCAATATTTCTAGAGTCGCCACTGAAGTCAAGCAATATTGCCACTCTTGGCACAAACAATTTATAAAGGGCGACCTTGGTTCTTCTTTTAAATTGGGTTTTCCCTATTGTGACAAATATTTCATTTTTTGTCTTCAATAGAACAAATATTGATAGATAATCATGGGTAAATGAGATTAGCAGAATTAAAAGTTTTAACTCAATGATGGATTCATACCTCTTTATAGCAAGGATATAAATTGGCTTTTAAGCTTCCTCCTCTACACAGAAGGATGTGATCAAGGTCTCTTCTCTTGTTGTACCAAAAGGACTTTTGAATCTTTTGATTATGATTACCAAATATATAAATAAGGAGCCAAACATCACAACCACAAAAAGATACCAAATTTCAAGGTGATTTGGCTAACTCAGCTTACTTCTGAACCTCCTTATAGAGGCTCACCTATGACGGGGTTGATAAGATCAGCCAGCTAAACCATATATTCGAATGGTTCCCATTTAGCGATTTTTTTGTCGCTCGGCTTTGTTAGACAAGGCTCGTTTCATACTTGACTTACGAGCTCATGCAGTACTTGCTGCTCTCTCTAAGGGGGCTTGGCTTATGCACTCCACACTTCTTTTATGCAAATCCACTATCAATAAAATAATAGTCGATAACGGACTACGGCGTGATAATCTCAGTTAAGGAGATTCAAGTCCGCCTTTGTGATTGGCAAAGCCTTTTGACGGGTGCATTAGATCATTCCATTTTGGTTCATGTCTCCTAGAATACAACAGTTCGACCATTCGTCATATGACTCCAACTAACCATGCACAAGTGGGTTAGTCCAAATCTCCACCATATTAATGCCTTCCTTAGGCGTGAAAAACTCTCAAGAGTTGAGTTCAAGTTTGATTTTGTTATTTTAAAAAAAAAAAAAAATTGGTTAGGTAAGCGGTTTAGATATACCAAAAAAATTAAATGTGAGAGTGAGGCTCAATACACTCCCAAAAGGGACAAGATGGTTGAGCAAGGCATCAAAGTAGAGCATACAAAGCAAAGGCCTAGCACTAAAAAAATAAAAATAAAAAACTCACAGCCCGAGAGCTAGGCCAAGGCAACAAACAACATGCAAAGCTAGAGGACAATGCCTACTATCTTATATAAGTCTTATGACTAGATTTCTTATACTTGATAGAGAGGTTAGCATTCTCTTGAGGAGCTTCTTCTTGTTCTCACTTCTTGAAGATGGGTTTGTCCATGGAACAACAAATTTTCCATCTGAAAGGGTCTGTGAAGCCCCTTTGGGATGCGAAGATTGTCGAAGAGCTAGCCCATTTAGATTACTCACGTCTCCTTCAATTTCTTTACCTTCCTTTGAAACCCCCTCATTTGGATTACCCCAAATTTCACTCTCTTTGAGGGGATAATCACTTCCAAAGGAGAGCATTAGGCAGACTCTTGGGATCTGCACAAAAAGACACCTTATTATCTACACAAAAGCTAAGAACATCAAATACATTTGATGGAGGATGGATAGAAATAAGATCACCCTCGGAGCATAAACACTTCCTTACCTTTTTTCTTTTTCACTTCTTCCCATTCAATTGGCTTAACTCCAATTGTCTTGGCCACTGCTTGAACCTTGGCCTTCCACTCTTAAATCAAATTGTTGATAAATGCTTACAATACTATATATGATATACATTAGGGGTTGACGTAGGTAGATGGGTCTTTATAGACCTCAACACCCATTAATGACCCAATTAAGAATCAATACATGAATTATATGTATTAATGCATCAAAGCATCGCCAATTCAGGTGGAGTTTTCTATAAATGACTTGGTATTTAACCTACAACAAGTGAGGTATTGTATCAGAAATGGAGGTTGAACAAAAATTGTTTTACTCTGGAGACCTGCAACAGTTTATTGCATCAGGACTGGTGGCTGAGCCTGTTGTCAGGTATGCTCTGCTGCTGATCCTGTTTTGTGGGGTTGCTGCTGCTTTTGGTTCAGATTCTGTATGGAAGAAGCTGGCTGCAAGTCTTAGTAGTTGATAGAAGGAAGAGGTGGTTGAACTGATATGCTGGCTGAAGGGGGTTGCTCTGTTTTGTTGGACTAATATGCTCAGGTGTGGACTGCTCTTGTTGTGCTATTGTTGTTGAGGAGTTTTCTTTTGTTCTTTGGTTGGTTGCTCACCAACTTTGGGGGTGCTAGCAAATGATAAGATCGGCTTTTTGGTGCCAACATAATTGGGATGATTTAACTCATCGTGATGCTTTTGCACTTGCCTCTCTTTATTGATGTATTTTGTTTTATACCTTGTACTTTGCTCTTACATCAATAAAGTCTCTTTTTTTGCTGATAAAAAAAAAATGCATCAAATTCATTGATTTTCATGGTAAATGAAGAGTTACTTGCATTAATAGGTTCAATTCAATGCTTAGAAAATGAATAGATGGATGGCTTATCCATGCATAGAAATATACCCGTAGGCTAGGAAGTACGGATACGGATACGGATAGGGGATATAGATACAATACGATACCGATATGGCGATACGGCAAAATTTGAAAAACTAGGATACAGGTACGGTGGGGATACGTTCGTAAAAAATATTATTTTTACAATTTTTAGCAATTTCAGCAATTCTGAAAATTCAACAATTCAATTAAAAAAAAAAAAAAAATTAATGTAGTTAACCCTTTTAATGATAAAAAAAAAAAATTACCTCACAAGGCTCCTTGATGTTGTTGTCTTTTGAGAAAATAAAAAGTGGGTACTAGTAGTAGCTTAGCTTAGCTGCAAAAAAGAAAAGAAAAAATAAAATAATAATTTCAAAGGGGTTAGCTTAGTACAGTGAGAGGGAGAGACAGTGAGACAGAGAGTGAGTGAGAGGGAGAGAGATCGAGCAAGAAGGAGAGTGAGATTGAGTGAGACGGAGAGACAGAGAGTGAGTGAGATTGAGCAAGAGGGAGAGGGAGAGATCGAGATAGAGAGAGGGACTAAGATCGAGTGACAGAGACAGAAAAGTGAGAGAGTGAGCGAGAGAGAGGGATTGACCTTGATCGATGACTCCTCCTCCTCCTTGCTGCTATTCCCGAATGGCGATGGAAACGATAAAGACGATGACGACAACTCTTGCTCTGTTCGACTTGTTGCTACTTCAATGCTCGTGAGCTAGGGTTTGTTTTAGTTTTTTGTTTTATTTTAGATAATTTTTGTTATGTTGCTACTTCAATGCGCGTGAGCTAGGGTTTGTTTTAGTTTTTTGTTTTATTTTAGATAATTTTTGTTATGTTGCTACTTCAATGCTCGTGAGCTAGGGTTTGTTTTAGTTTTTTGTTTTATTTTAGATAATTTTTGTTATTTTATAGTTTGACCCCATTATAAGTTTGTAAAATTATTTTTTCGCTCCGCCGTATCCCAAAAGTATCCGAAGCGTATCCTTAAAGTATCCTCGCATACCCCAAACGTATCCTAAATTCAAAAAATTAAAAAAAAAAATTGGTATACTTCTTTGCCGTATCTGATACATACCCGTATCGGACGCGTAGCCGTATCTGATACATATCGGACACGCGTACGGGGGCAATTTCGGAGTATCTATGCTTCATAGCCCAGATGCCACGCTTGTTTGCCAGATTAGGTTAGATGGAATTATTGGTACGGTGGGATTGAGTGAGTGGATTACTAGTGTGGTGGTATTATGTTAGAGATATAAGATAAATTGTGCTTGTTTGTGCACTTGTGTGGAAGTATTAATTAGTTGGGATTAAATCTATAAAATTATGTAAAAACGCTCTTATATAAAAATGTTAACTTCATTATTTTTATTAAGTAGGGGCAATGAAGTCTTTTTACATCTAATCCCATGGGATTAGATTCCCAAACCCAAGTCCCCCAAGGCATTGCTAATCCCCTCATTGGTGGGGCTTCATAGTCTTATGGACACTTTTCCACAAAACATACATGATTTTTGTAAGCCCCATAGATTAAAATTTTAATCCCCTCCCCTCAAATCCCAAAACAAACATGTTGATAAAGATAATGTGTTGTTGAAATTAAACTTATGTATGGTGAAACACACATCTTAAAAGAATCTGGACCATACATTGAATATTCTAGGCATTTTTTGTGTACATAGGATTGCTCTATCTTCAATGTTGGAATATGTAGGTGATCAATGCATCTACACTTGGCAGTAGCCAGCCTGAAACTTGGCAGTAGCCCACTTTTATTCTAGGCATCTACTTTCCCACTTTTATTCATGCATGCCCCCTGTAGTGTGCTAAGTGGAGAATGCTTGGCAGCCCAATGTGCAGAAAAGATTGAACGTATAATTTTATGTATTGTTGTATGCAAAATACTTGGCAGTAGCCAGCCTGAAACGCGGGATTCGGGAAAGATGGAAATGTATAATTTTGTATTTGGTGATTTAAAAAAAAAAAATCACAAAATATTATACATATTTAGATTAGGCGTATTTAAAAAATAAAAATAAAAAAATTGCTTAAAATATTAAAAAAATAGGAGCTGAGGATTCGAATAGCAGTGCTTCTTACTAGATTTTGGTTGCTGATTGCTAGCTGCTTGTTTGTTTTGTGATTAACTCGTTTCAGAAGTTCCTTTCTCATCTTTTTTTTCAAATTTTTTTTTTTTCTATATCGCATTGTAGCTGAGAACTTCTTGTGATGACTAAAGCTTTTGTTTTTTCATGCGGAATACTTCCATTTTGGAAGGTCAAGGATTTTGCAGTGGTAACAGTTGATTTACAAAGAGTGACTTGTATGTTAAATATCAACACCTACAATTTGAGATTATTGTGTAGGAGGAAATGCTTTCATTGCATTAATAGGAGTAATCGTGTGAGTTTTTGTTCTTTTGACATATTGATAATGCTTATTATGGTTTGATGGTCTTCCGTATGTTTTTGTAGATTACTTCTAAAATTTGTGAACTTAGGTTGTTTGAAATCCTGTTATGACCAGTTGACAAAGATTTTTTGGCCAAAAACAACGCGCTATACTAGTTAGCAGGGTTATCTTATCTATCTAATGTTCTTAATTCAAAGAACAATTTACTTTCCCACTTTTATTCATGCATGCCCGCTGTAGTGTGCTAAGTGGAGAATGCTTGGCAGCCCAATGTGCAGAAAAGATGGAACGTATAATTTTATGTATTGTTGTATGCAAAATACTTGGCAGTAGCCAGCCTGAAACGCAGGATTCGGGAAAGATGGAAATGTATAATTTTGTATTTGGTGATTTAAAAAAAAAAAAATCACAAAATATTATACATATTTAGATTAGGCGTATTTAAAAAATAAAAATAAAAAAATTGCTTAAAATATTAAAAAAATAATAAATAAATATAAAGTATGAAAAATAAAGAAAGTTAATTTTTTTGTGTGATTTAAATTAAAGAAGATAATTGTTATTTTCCTTGAAATGATATGAACAAAATATATCTATTATTTTATTATTTTATATATATAGGGGGCAAATATGTCATTTTAATTTGACAGAGAATAAGTGTAATTTTTCAAATGTGGAGGGGATCTGTATTAAACAAAAACCTTAGGGGGTATTAGTGCAATTTACCCAAAAAATTATAATCAATTATGCTTTAATTTTGAAAAAAAAAAAACAAAAATATGTAAACCCTTAGGCCACCTTTATTTGACAAATTAGATTGGATGAAATTATTAATGAAAGGATGATTAGTAAAGAGATTATTAAACTACGTTTGTTTGGCGGATTAGATTGGATGTGATTGTTAGTGAGATGAGGGTTAGTAAATATATTGTTAACGTGTGAATTGTTAGTAAAGAGATTAAGTAAAAGTATATTTGCTCTGATAATAGTGTGACAGATGTTTAGTGATGGAACCTTAGGGGGTATCAGTGTAATTTACCCAAAAAATTATAATCAATTATGCTTTAATTTTGAAAAAAAAAAAATCAAAAATATGTATACCCTCAGGCCACTTTTATTTGGCAAATTAGATTGGATGAGATTATTAATGAGATGATGATTGATGAAGAGATTATTAAACCACATTTGTGTGGCGGATTAGATTGAATGTGATTGTTAGTGAGATGAGGGTTCGTAAATATATTGTTAACGTATGGATTGTTAGTAAAGGGATTAAGTAAAAGTATATTTGCTCTGATAATAGTGTGAAAGATGTTTAGTGATGGAATTGTTAAATTATTTTTATATAAAATAAATAAAAAATTATTTCTATATTAAAAAAATAAAACAAATATTAAAACAAACATGTGCATTTGGTAAAAAAAATTATATAAAATAGACTCAATTCACTCATTATTTTTCTAATCCCATCCAAAACACAGCTAAGTTAATCCTTCTACCGAGGGGGATTACTAAGCCCCTCGCACTATCAATCCCCCATCCCAAATCATCACCAAACACGTTGTGAGTGGGACTCACAACCATAGCAATCCAATCCGGCTACCTACACCGGTAAACAAACATGATTTTAATGTGTGAATTGTTAGTGAGGAAATTAAGTGAAAGTGTGTTTGTTTTGATGATATAGTGTGGGAGATGGTTAGTGACGGAATTGTTAAATTATTTTTATAGAAAAATCTTAAAAAAATAATTTCTATATTTAAAAAATATCTAAAACAAATATAAATTTTTATTTTTTTAAAATAACATGTTGTGATGGTATTAAAAAAAAATGTTCCATACGTTCCGGTAGACATCCGGGGAAGATGACTGGATAGAATTAACCCGTTCAATATTTTCCTAATCCCACGCTTTATCTAGCCAAGATAATCTCCCTACTGAGAGGGATTACTAAACTGTTCGCACTATTAAGCCGCCATCCCAAATCATCACTAAACATGCTGTGGGTGAGACCCACAACTATCCTAGTCCAATCTGACCGTTGAAACAGCAAAACAGACATGATCTTAATATTTTTTTTTTCTTTTTTTTTTAGATGGGAATAAACTCTAAAGCAGGTTAGGAAAGACAGAGGCCTCCTTAGCAATCAATATGTTAAGCGATGACGGGCATTTCTTAATCCATGTTGAAAAATTATTCAACTCTATTGCCATTCGGTCTAGACAATGGGCCATTGAGTTTCCTTCTCGATGCACATGGGAAATCAAGAATTGCCTAAAATGGCTTATCGCCGCTACTATTAGAGACGAAATGCCCATACGATGAGAGAGAAGCGCCACCGACTGAATAACCTTGACAATGTCACTTGAATCACCTTCAAACTGTACACTTAGGTCATGTTTGATTCACAAGACTAATAGTAAAGTATTAATAATTCTATTAAATTAGTGTGGTATTCATTATCCAATTGGATTAATATCCATTGCATTAATAATCTCACCCCTACCTCATTACTAATAATTCTACAAATTTGTTGGATTAATTATCCATTGGATTAATAATCCTAAACCAAAATGTTAAAATAAACATAGGATAATTGGGCCTACGGATTAATAATCTCAATCCCATGCTGTAATTCACCCAATCAAACATGCCATTAGAGCAAGCCGCTATCATCTCACTACTAGCATCCCGAACAATCACCCCAGCCCCCAAGCATCTGAGATCCTTGAATCGAGCCCCATCGAAATTAACGTTATATCATCCAAAATCTGGAGGCCGTTACTTAGATACATCTGGATTACCATGCACACTACTCACCATGATCTGTGCCGCTGAAAAATCTACCACACGACTAGATACAAAAGAAACCGTTTCAACGAGCTGCCAAATTTTATTAGCAAAGACAGCTTAGTTCCTCGCTATTTAGATTCCCCAGCACAAGTCAACAAAAATGCAAAGAACCTCGTCATCTCCGTGTTTCATTACAAAAATAAATTTGTTAATGCATAACCCATGTTAAGAAATTTAAAGTGTTCGGTTTTTAAAAAATTTACCATTTTAATTTGAAAGAGCGTTTAATAGATTCATTTTTTAATTTATTTTAATGATTTGAATTGTTCACTTTTTAAAATTTGTTGAGTAGAATATCCATAAAAAAAATCAAGTTGATTGTACATTGGTATTTATATGTTTAAATTATATTTGTTTTAAAAAAATAGACATACAAATATAATTTCCAAAATTACCATATATTTTTTATAACATAAATTTGGTTTGAACATATAGTTAGCAATGTTTAATCATCTTATTTTTTATATGAATATTTTACGTAATAAGTCGTAAAAAGTATAAGGGATGAATGAAATAAATAATGTACAAAAATTTTAAACTCTTTTAGCATGTGTCTTAAATACATATGCTAACAAAGCTTTTAGAAAAATTAAGGTTTGTTTGATTTAGTTTTAGAATCATGATTTAAGTGTGGAGTTAGCTAAGTTTTGAAAAGAGAAAATTATTTGATTATGAGTTTTGAATTTTTGAATTTTAAATTTTGAACTATATTTTGAAATTTTTTGATTTATTTTTTAAAATATTTAAAAAAATTTAAGAATTTTTTATTTTAAATATTTTATTTTATTTTATTTTTTAAAAAATTTTAAACTCAAAACACAACTCCACACTCAAATTATAACTAAACACATAACTCAAAACTAATTCAAAAATTATTTTCAAAACTCATAACTAAACACATAACTCGAAACTCTACACTACTTTCAAAACTCTACACTTAAATCATAACCAACACATAACAAAAAAAAATTAAAATATTTAAAATATATTTATAAAATAAAATAAAATAAAATATTTAAAATAAAAAATTCAAAGATAAAAAATTATCAAATTATCAAATTGACCCATATACAAACAAAAATTCAAAAAATCATCATTTCCAAATAGAGGGCAATTTTGTCATTCCAATGCAAAAAATTCAAAAAAGCCAAACAAAAATTTTTAAAATTAAAAAAATTAAAATATTAAAAAAATCAAAAAAATCAAAAAAAATTAAAATATTAAAATATTAAAATATTTCAAAAAATATTTATAAATTAAATATAAAAAATAAAAAAATATTAAAAATAAAAATTATATATTTAAAATAAAAATAAATTATTTTAAATATTTCAAAAAATACAACTCAAATATTTTAAAAAAAATACAGCGCACAATTATATGAAATACAATGCACATTAAAAAAATACAACTCAAAATTCTTTTCAAAACTTATAATCAAATAAATTTTCTCTTTTCAAAACTCATAATTCAAAATATAACTTCACACTCCAATCATGATTCTAAAAATAGTTTTAAAAAACAAAATAAAAAATATTTTTTTGATTTTTTTTTAAATAGAGTTTTGAAAAGAGTTTGGTTATGAGTTTTAGAAAGAGTTTGGATAAATTATATCCACACCCTTTGAGATTTGTATTTGATACAATCCCTTCCCTGAGGTACTAGAAATTACATTTTCCTCATTGAGATTTATATTTACGTTACAAATTACCCCCTCAGTTAATTAACCGTTAGACCAATTAACAGTTTTTGCATGTCAATAGTATATTTATTTAAAATGCCAATTTTACCCTTACCTCTCCCTTTCTCTATATGAATGTTGTGCAAAACCATGTGTAGAAACCCAGAAAAATAAAAATGAACAGAAAAATCATTTGCAGAGACTCAAAAAAAAAATATATATATATATTAAAAAAATTATTTGACAAACATCTCTATTAACCATTTTATCAAACAAGTCTACGAATCTTACACACATTTCAATTAAAGCATTACGAATAAATGAATATTATCACGAACTAGTCTATTTATTACCACTTAGAACATGTTTGGTATGATGGAATGAGTTGGAGTAAAATATCTATTCTAACTTTGCATTTCCTTTCTCTTGTTTGATACGCCTTATTTAAGTGAAAATAGACATTCCATTGGAATGGTCATTCCAACAAAATGTGGGAATGCCTATTGTAGCGATCCCGGTTTTGACCCATCTCTTTGTGGTGTTTTAGGCTCGGGTTGGTATGGTTTTGAACGGTATTACGTATCTTATTTTTCCTGTATTCCCCT